GATCATTCCTATAAATCACGGAATTGACGAGTCACTGGAAATGTGCATGCTTCAATGATAAATGAATGGCTGCGTGTGAGCTGGCTTAGTGAGAACCCAGCCTTGAAATCAGTGTGATCGTGTCTGGGCAAAATGCTATGTTACAACTTCTGGGTATGCAAACCAGAAGCCCATGTGTGCCTTTGATTGTGTGAATAAACACTAGTGGATGAGCACATGCTTTTGACAGTTTTTGCCAGTTTATGGCATAATGAGAAAAATAAGGACAATGTGTTGAATTATAAGACTAAAGTATTATATTTATGTGACTGTCCTGTTTTCTGAGATTACCTTCTTCCAATTGATATAGTTGTTTTTGTTTGTTTGTTTTTCAACTTACATGGTTTTGTTAAAGCTTGAATCCTGTTTTGGACACTGTCACCTTCCATCCCCATTTTTCTCCTCACTGGCCCGTTATAGCAAGTCTAGGACCAGTTGCCTGGGATTATGAAGAACTCTCTCTTTGAACAATAGTCAAGCTCAGTATCTGATTTAGCACTTAAATTTGCAACATGTTTCTCTAAGTCATAGAATATTACATTATAACCAGTGTTAAGAAAACTTTATCATTGTACCAATAATTTCTTTTCCTAACTGAAACAAAGTTGTAGATAAGGGTGCAGAGAAAAGTCTTTAGCAACTCTGTTATCTTTCATTTCACGTAGCTTAATGAATTTTAAAAACTAATAAGGTAACTCAACCGTATCTCATTTTGTAATTTTAAATCAGCACTAGTATATGTAACAATTTACAGATAAAGGGAATAGGTCTCAAAGATATTAAGTAAATTTCCCTAGCTGATGTTTTCACCTAAATCAGCACTTTTTTGTTTGTTTCCTTCAAAACATTTACCAAAATTTGTAATTTATTGATTTTTTTCCCCTGCCTTTCCTCAGCAGCATTTAAGTTCCTAAGTTCCTTGAGAACGGAAAGCAGATCGGTCTTGTTTACTGTTGTAGCCCCAGCACTCAGCATATGATAGATAGATATAGATACGGAAAGAATACTTATAGAGCATCTACTATGTGCCAGGCAATGGTACTAAATATGTTAAATGTCAGATCAAGACCATTCATTTATGATTTGATTCTTTTTTTTAAAACATGTTTCGAAAACACTTGTAAGCATAACCATAGGCAAGTGTCCTGTCCTTCTCTCCTGGAGAGATAAATGTATTATGCCCCGCCTCCCACCACTTCTCTTTTATCAGCATCATCAAGGAAGGAAGGAAACCGTGAAGACCAACGTTGCCAGTGCAGAGCCTAGCAGGAAGATCACTTGGTTTCATTTTTTTTTTCTTTTCTAAATTATCTCTAGAAAGATTCCCAGTTTAATATCCACTGACATTTCTATTTGTTCACCCACTTCTTCCAAATACTACTTTGATGATACTTTATAACCAAATTGCCAGAAAATGTCTTTTACCAGTCAAGAAAGAGTATCTACTTAAAGAATACACTACTGTAGTCCCCTCTCAGGGATGCCCACACTTTTTATTTTGAAATGGCTTCAAATACATAGATGAATTGCAAAGATAGACAGTTCTTATGTATCCTTCAGCCAGCCTTCCCTAATGTTACCATCTTATATCCCATGGTTCTAGGACTACTTTTGACCCTATCATATTGCCACTATGCTTACTACCAATGCTGACTATGCTATTTGCCCCTCTAGGTCCACACCCCACCCTCTACATCCTCTTACAAGCCCCAGGAGGCTGACCTGGTTATATTTCATTAGTAAGTTCCTTTTCCCTCTGGCTCCCAGTTGGGATAACAACCAATGAAAGCAACAGGAGACTGGAGTGCAGGATACTTCTCTCCCCCTGCCTGTGACTTCTTCCCTGGTGAAGCATCCCTCTACCAAAAGCTACAGCAAAAGCCTGTTGCTCCCTCTTTTCAACTGCATCTATTCCATGTGGGTTCTGACCACCTTGGCCCTTTAGGCCTAGGAGTGGTAATAGGCTTCTGCTGATGCTAACCCTGGGATACTTCACCATCTCTAATTGCTTTTCCTCCCTGGCACACCTTTCAAAATAATCCCTTTATTAAATTCTGTTCAAAAATCCCAATTGACTGTGCTATCTAATTTTCTCCAGGGACTCTTAACTGACAACCTACTCAAAATAACGTTATCTTAAAGCTGACTTTCTCCAAGGGATCTTATTTACATGAACATTTTCTACCAAGAGGAATTCCAAACTGTGTCACTCTCAAAGCCAAGTTCGTGAACCAAGGCCTGAAATTAAATCACTTTTACATGTTCAGATAAATGAATTTCAAACCAAGTTTTTACCCTGTGAATGTTCACACCTGTACCTTAGTCAAGACTCAAGGAAACAATTATAGCATAGCTAACAAGCTGCTGTCTCTATGTGAAAATAGTGGTTTTCAGCAGGGCTGTAGCAGGAAGCTGGTTCTCCAGCAACAGCGGTGGGCAGGAGCTTGTGCTGAGCACCACTACCCCACAACCACAGCCATCTGAGACCCATTTTGGCCATCAGAGTGCTTTGGACAGAGACTGTCTGAAATTTCTAGGGGAAGACTCTAGTCAAATCTAGTCAGAGATGTGAGACCACTATATATAGGTACAAAATCTGAATTACAATAGGATGAATATAGATACTGATTTTTTTTTTTTTTTTTTTTTTAAAGGGGAGAGGTATGAGACATACCAGAGAACTTGAGTATTTAGTCATCACGGGATACTTGTAGCATTCACCCTGGCAAAGAGCAAGGGACCCAGGAGATCTGAAGAGCTGAGAGGCCAGAGTCATAAAGGAATCATGAAAGGAGGCCAAGTTGTAACCTGTGGGATTCCCATCACTGATCCCCTGGTAGCAGCCGTCCGGAATGTTTAAGTCATCACCATAAAACCTCTAACCAAAAGTTCTCCTCATTATCTAGCCTCTCTCCCGGTATGCATACTGTACTTAGCTTTCTTAACGTCTCCTTTAGCATTACATAATAGTCTACATTTGTTCTAGCTAAATGTTTTACACGTCAAGCTAAAATCTAACCGTTTTCAGCATTTCTACTTTGGAGCAGAGAAACCAAGTTTTTGTTGGACAAGAACAAAAAATATTATGCCTTACAGAAAATTTAAAGAAAACAGTTTAAATGCCAGCACTGGGGGAAATTTTTATTTATTTCTTTTCCTTTTAGAGCATTTTCCTACTCTTGTTCAACAATCACTAACTATAGAGGAAAGGGAGCAACAATTCAATTCTGCTTGCTGCGGTAGATGTGATCTGGCCACCCACACATATTTAAGGAAAAAAAAAGTCAGAGTCCACTGCCATGATTCCAAAAAGCAACACACTGTATATTTACTTCTGAAATTTATTTCAGGTGACAGGACACCCACAGACTAACAAAATAAACAGAGAATTAAATAGCACTCCCAAAGCCCAATTCCACTTCCTAGCAAAGGTGGGAGAAACTTTAGCTGCCAGGTTTAATCTATATTAGTTTCTGCAGGTGGTCTACACCCATTCATAACAGCAGGACAAAAAATATTTCTCACTTGAAGAATCTAAGGTGCAAAATGCCTAAGATGGATACGCTCAACACAGAAAGCATAGAAAGAGATTAAAAAATATAAGTAGAGTTTTTAATGATAAAGTTCTACAGTTGGAGGAGGGAAAGAAAGGATGTAAAAGGAGGTGGGTGGATTAATATGCAGAAGGAAAACAGGAAAGGGTTTAATTTACCTTGAAATAACCACTATTCTATTTGTCCAGGCCCAGTGAGAATCTATGCCAAGCAATTTCATTCATTGCCCAGCGCCTAGCCCATTGCTGACTGTGTGGTAAATATTAAATAAATACTTGTTGGTTGATGCAAAGTGCACATGGCAATGCTGTGTACACACAGGAAACAGAAACTGGAGGTGGTGAGATAAATTAGAAAGCGATGCAAGGTCTGGTTCTCCATGTTGACAATATTTTCAAGTTACACTAAGTGGGGAAACAAATGAGGCAAAAATGTGACCACATTCATAGTTCAACGTGTTGTTCCTCTTTGAGCGCTAAAACTTTATTTGCAAAAGAAAAGCTATGATTAGATGTATATTTTAAATTAAATATACACAGTATAATTTTAAGGACCAGAGGCTTTATTGCTTAATATGTATGCTTTTTATTTGTTACAATGAATCAAAAATGTTGCTTGCTCAGGTTGCTTACATTTGTAATAGTAATATACCACTTGAAGCCTTTAACACATAAGCACCTATTTGCTAGACTAAACCTAGCCTTGAACTTTTAGTGATGCCATATGCTTTTAAATTAACCCTTCTAAATACTGTATGAAGCTCATAATACAGACTGCTAGCTTATGGTTGAAGTAGGTTACTACTAAACACTCATTAGGCAAACTATTGAAAATCAAGAAAACATGCATAACCCTACATGTCTATGAATGTCAAAATTAAAGATGATATAATAAGAACTTGGGATTTGGCAATTATGATTTGACTGTAAGATCTCACTGGCTTACACATTTTAAGTGGAACTAAAAGCTCTAAGGACTTTTTTCTATACCCAAAAAAAATTACACATTTTAAAATAGTATCTAATAGAAGGTCTATTAAAATCACAATGGATCAGAGCTGTCAACTTCAAATAGTGCCTTTCTCCTAAAGATCTTAAGTTTACACATTGGTGCCAACACCACAAATGCGGATGCTACAAAGAAAAACAAATTTTATTCACAGCACTTTGCATATAAACTTTTTCTTCTGCAGACTTGTGTGGGGTTGAAAATAAAGGATGCTAATATGCACATTATGAAGCACATAAAAAAAATAAGCAAAAACACTTTAGTTGAGTGAAAATACATTTATCAGCTAGAAATCTGGGAAAATTCACATCCACTGTACTCCAAATTTACCCCCAAGTGACAGCAAAATACTATATGAGATGGAAAAAATTAAATATTATTTAATCAATAGCTGATTACCTTTAAAACTTTGGGCTTCTTTTCCCTCTGGGGCCTCTTGTTTTCCTTTATAACCTAAAAAAAATCAAATTGCAAAATGAGCCTCCGTTTAAGAAAAATGTAGCTCCCACCCCCCTAAATTTTTGGCTATTTCACTGTAAAACTACTTATATCATTTAAAAGCATCAACATGTTTAATAGGCAGAAACTAAAGAGCTTATGTAAAATGTATACTTCAAAAGTCACTGAAAACAAGCCTTGCAGAAAGATGAAGTAGGGAAATACCCTTTTCTCCCCTTAAAGTCTGTCTTAATTAGCCTCTGCATTCTTCACAGCGAAGCCCACGAGGTAGCCATCTTGCTTGCTTCTGCAGAGGAAGCCTCTACAGTGGAACAGTTCTGCAAACTGCTTTTTGGTATTATTATCATGGTGTTTAAAGGCAGCCCTGGCCTGCCAGCACTGTAGACGTGCTGGGCATGCCTTTTGCAAAAACAGCCCCACAAAGAGTGCAGCCAATGGCAATGCAGAGCTTAGCAACTCCAAAGTGATCTTCTCTGCCTAGCCCTTCCTAGACAAAGGATCTCCTGTGCGGCTCCACTCTCACCACAGGACACAGGCAGCCCCAAGCTGCGACATGGAGTTCGCTGCAGAGGATCTGGTCGCGCCGAAATCATAGGAGGTTTCAGCAAAAACAATGCACACAAATCCCCCAGGTCCCCACAATCGGATCGATGACGGAGTCTCCCTGATTAGTAACCTCTTCGAGGCTCCGAGGGCAGGTCTGCGCTGGGGGGAGGGGTGAGCGGCTCTGCCTCCAACGTACAGAAGATATAAGCGAGCTGAGGGGGGCACTTGGGCTTGCTTAAACTCTGGAAGGTATTGTGCATTTTTACTTTATAAGGCAAGGCTAAATATTGGCGATATTTAAGGCAGGGAGGTTATGTGAGGACAGTGTAGGCTCAGCTGTTGGGCTGTGTCTCATTCTTCGGGAACCACACCTCTTTGCAGCAGGCGCTTTGCCCAGAAGCACAGCGATTTGATTTCTGTCAATAAATGTCCAATGACAAAAGCGGACTAAAAAATAATAATAAGAAAGCCACTTAAAAGGAAAAGGACAGGATGAGGACAAGGAATGGAGGAGGAGTTTTCAAAATACACTGGCCACTCTGAGTGGCTGGAGAGAAAAGATTTCTCTCTCTGGCTCTGAGCATTTTTGATGACCACTCCCCAAGGAAACCCCTGCCCTACCAGCAGGTAGACTCACACCTCTGGGACAAAAAGAGGACCTTTGGCTCTCCTCTCTCCCAAGATCATCACCTGTCACTGAGCCTCTCTGCAAAGCTGCCAAGCAAGTCCCATGTGGAGCCCGTCTGCGCACGAGGCTGGTGGTCAGACAGAGCCACCCACTTCTCAGGGATCGGAACTAGAGCCAGGGCTGGAACAAGCGGCCACCCCACACACACCTGGACTGCCCCCACACCCAGGGGTGGTAGGCACTGGGAGAACTGGGCACCATGGCTGGCATCTACCAGCCAGTGGGAAAGGCAGAGCCAGAGGAGTCTCCCTCCCTCTGGCCCCCTGGCGTTGCAACAGCAGCAGCTGAGGAGGACAAGAGCAGCTGCGGTGAGCTGGCTGATCTCAAGGTCACTGCCAAAATGCAATGCAGAGGCCGGTCACAGTCCCATCACGGCCACTTTGACAGCTGCTCAGGTCTCGGGAAGACAGCTCCATCTCCAGCCTCACAGGGCCAAAGTTGCAGCAGCACATTTGGGGGATTGGCAGGAGGGCCTCCCTCGCTGTTCAGCCAAAGATGAGTTTTTCACTTGCAGTTGGATTCAGAACAGATTCCCACAACGAGGAATTGGGAACAGAGTGAGGGCCGGAAGGCCTGCATTTCATCACCCTTGATTCCTAGCCTTTCAGTTTGCCACAAAAGCACGCTTTCCTTATTGGAACGGGAAGTTAAACATGCATTGTTTTCCCATTTTTAAACTCCTTCTCCCTCACCCACTGGCCTCCTTCTCTCCCCCAAATTTTTAAACAAATTCATATAAGAAAACAATCTATTGGGTGTGTTATTCTCAACTCTTCCTAAAACACTTGTAGCAAAACCAATGGATTCTGACCTAACCACATCAACCAACACACCTTCAAACACTTATAAGCCCACATCTTCTTCTCTAAGGAGCAAGAACAGGCTCTCTGAGGGAATGAAGCAAGCATGAAATAGGTAGAAAAACAGGATCAAATACAACAAGTTCTGAAAAGGGGTGCAAAATCTTTTGGCCCTGAAAAGTGCTTTGCATTTCAATTAGATTGCCCTCTTTGCATACTTGAATATAATTTTTTAAAGGTATCAACATTTTTCCAGATTGGTTGCTCAATATTTAATTAAATGGCCATGAATATATTATGACATAATGGTATAGTATCAATCAATTCAGTACCTAAGTGATTCATATGATTGCCTCACTAAAATAAAATAAAATCAGATTCAGAGGGTTAGGTATGCTGAGTATCCACAGTGGTAAGAGGTCCATTTTTTAAGGCCTGTGGACAGGAGTTTTCATTACATGGGCTACACATGAACCATATAACAGGATGCTTGGCTACCTACGCAAACGCTGAAGGTCCTTGTGCACTGGTCTGTAAAATTAGTTAATAAATAAAGCCTGAGCTCATCCCAGCTAGATGTGAGGGTTAATGAAAGTGACCAGAGCTAACATCAGCTCCAAATAGCCAACTGTTAGGACGCCATGAAAATCTCTACTTGTTTGAACACAACATTACAGATTGGTGACCTCTATCAGTTGTGACCATCAATTCCAAATCCTATACTTAGAGGTTTGATGGTCTCAGTTCAGGGCTTAGGTGACAGTGAGTTTTGATGGAGTGAATAATCAGAAATCACTAGCAGAGGGATTGGAGTCAAGAGAGCCAGTCCCATTCTTTTATTATTTAGGGTGAAGCACATACAATTAAATCCTGTTGAAAGAAAGGCAGGTCAGAGAGTTATTCAGAGCTTGTCTTTGTCACTTAAATCTATTTGTTTTTCCCACAAGGGCTCATGGCTATTAAATTACATGAGCTGATATTTAATTTTGCAATAACTCAAGTGTGTTAAGTTCTGTCATATATTACAAAATGAAATCTATCTTTTCTCTTAAAAACCATAGGATTACAGAACTAAAAAGAACCTTAGAGAAAATTCAGCCTAACTGCTTTATTTCATAGATAAACTCAGGCTGAAAGAGGTAAAATTACTTAACTCAGGTTACACAGCTGAGTTATAAACTGACTTGAGCCCTGTTCTAACCATCCACACTGCTCTCTCCACTTCTATTCATTCTCAACACCCAACAATGTACATTTGTAAATACCCCAAAATAACCTTAAAATAAATGTCTTCAAAAAACACCCACTTCATTTTTAGGACAGAAGATTAGCAGCTCAGATTTCTAGAAGATTGTTATTTTAAACCATTGTTATGTTAGGTATGCTTTAAAAAAATGCTTTGTCCCCTTGGAGCTAAATTTATGAATAATGTCAAAATTCTGCCTCTCTTCCTGAGTACAAGCAATTGTACATCCACAAGAAACAAGATTTACAGACACTCCCTAGATGAAGACAACAACAGCGGCATACTAGGAGGAGTCTTCTTCCAAATTAATCTCAAGGGTAGTTCACCCTTCCTCAAGACTGACACCTCTCTGAAGCAAAACACCCTCCCAATATTTGTCACATGCTTCTCTTCCATGCAATTGCTCTATATTTTTCTTCTTGCATATTTTTGGAGGCTATAGTAAAGATATTCCAAGCACCATCTTTTGTAAACCATCAACCTATAAGAATAAGAAAAGGATGTTACATACTTTTCACAATCCTGATGGAGATTTTAAAGCTAGTTTGGTTTTGTTGCCTGTGAGACACAGAAACCTGCAAGACTGATGTTAGAGAATTTTCCTGGTTAGTTGAGTTGAGCAATAGTCTGGGTACAGGTGGCTGGTCTGCCTAGCACAGTCCTTACCTTGCTCTCCTCCCCCACTTCTTTCCCTGAGGCTTATCTACCAAACCAAAAACCAAACCGGTTGTCATCCAGTTGATTCCAACTCATAGCATGGAAGTGCCCCGTAGGGTTTCCAAGGAGCGACTGGTGGATTCAAACCGACTGGTGGATTCAAACCGCCAACCTTTTGGTTAGGAGCCAAGCTCTTAACCACTGCACCAGCAGGGCTCCGGGCTTATCTACAGCAGCCCTTTTTCCCTCCAAGGGGCCAGGTCTACCTGGCATCCACTCACTCTCTCTAACAGTCCTGCTTACAGCTGGTAAAACTAGCTGTTCTTCAATGGTAAGAATTAAGGAACGAGCGGGCAGATGATCTTCAACAGTTGCCAACTGAGAATCATAGACAATGCCAGAGACTAAAGGGGCTGAAATGTCACCTCTCCCCAATTTCTCGGCTCTTCTTATTGCTAACGAAATTGGCAAGACTACTCTCTCCTCTCTATTAGTATTTAGATCCATAATTTGGACAGAAAAATCCAATAAACCCATCGACGGATTTTTGTCAAAAACAAAGAAACCATAGAAGAAGATCCTATTTAAAACAATTTCTCCTTTAGTGAATGATAAGATTGAAGTTTGCTTCTTATTGTAGCTAGTCCTATCTAATTTGTTTTTCCTGAAACATTATTTTCAATAATGTTCTTATTATCTTTATTTTTTTTAACAAAAGGAACTTCAGTACCTTTGCACTCCTTCCCCGTCATTCTTCCTAGGCAACTGACTCTAGAGAACACCGTAGCCTTACTTTTTGGATAATCTAATTATCTAATCAAGTCATAATAGCAAAATCATAAAAATTTATTTTTTCACTGAGATTCTCAAGGCATTTCTGACACACCCATACATACACAAAATTTCCCTTTGAGAAAAACAGATTTGGGCTCTTTCAAGTTTAACAAAAGCAAACTTCTTAAAATTCTTGAACCAACCATAAGAAGACTCACCCTGACATCCAAAAATGCACTATTTAAGTTTCATTAATTCGTTTTTTACAATGACCCTTGCCATT